GAACGCACTTGTCTATACACAGTGCTACACAAAGTTACTACTAGTAGCTCGTGGAACAGATCTAAAATAGTTTTATATTACGTTTTTCTTGATAAATATATAAAATTATTTCATTTAAAAATGTTTCCAAATTTGTGGACATTACTAGTGATCTTCCTAATAAGCTAATATAAAAAAATGGACTAAAAGGAGTGAAACTTGGTTACCACTAAATTTACTTGAAAGAAAATGTTCAAGTAAAGTTTGTGTAGCATTTTCAAATTTTGACATCATTTTCAATCATTTACTTGAAAATTTGCTGGTGGAACGCACTTGTGTATACACAGTGTTACTCAAAGTTAATACGTGTAGCTCGTGGAACAAACCTATTACCTGCACAGTTTAACACGGCTAAATATAGTTTAATCCGTTTAGAGGTTCCGTTTCAAATTTGGTAGCAGTGAATGTTTGGCACTTGTTGTCTAAAATAATGATTACTCATTTCCAAAGATCAAAGATAAAGGTTTTTTTGTCGTTTATAGATCAATATAACCTGTTATATTTATGTTGCTTTGATATTGTGTACAATATATACTGTAATATTAATTTTTCCAGAGTAGGTACAGACTTATCGGAATGTACCTATCAACATCCAATATATAAAGATCAGCAAACCTTGCCATTTTTTGCTGCAGACCATGTAAAAGATACAAAAGGTACTGGATTAGTGCATACAGCACCTGCACATGGACCAGAAGATTTTCTTGTTAGCTTAGAACATAAATTAAAAGTGGTACGTACATATTATTATTAATGTATCTAATAAAAACTTTTTTTTAAACAACTTTTATTAATAAATTATACAATTTAGCAAAACTACGTAAATGCAAATGGAGTTTATACAATGGAAGCACCAGAATTTTTGCGTGGTAAATCTGTGCTGGACGAAGGTGATAAACTCGTTATTGATCATATAGCCAAAGATATAGTACATGCTAGTAAATTTACACATGCTTATCCCATTGATTGGCGTACTAAAGAGCCGGTAATAATACGTGCAAGTGAGCAATGGTTTATTAATACTGCGGAAATAAAAGATCGGGCTGTGAAGGAGGTGCGTTAATTGAATAAATTCTTTTTTTTTAGAAAACTTATGACGCAAGCAAATACATACTAATTTTTAAAATTATAATAGTAATATTTAAAATATTTCTCTTCTAGTTGGAGAAGGTTGAGATATATCCACGAGTTAATGCTGAAGCAAGTAAGAAAAATTTAACAACACAATTACTAAAGCGTCCATATTGGTGCATATCGCGTCAACGTGCTTGGGGTGTGCCTATACCAGCATTTTATAACAACGAAACAAATGAAGTTATTATAAATAGGTAAATAAAGTTTTCAGAAAAATATCAGAAAATTAATTATTTTCATTTATCTAGGGATATAATACAACATATCTGTGATATTATTCAAAAGGAGAGTAATGTTGACTTTTGGTGGTCAAAATCTGTAGATGATATTTTACCAAAAAAATTAATTAAGGATTTGAATTTACCTATTGAAAATATAACAAAAGGTTTAGATATTTTTGATATCTGGTTTGATTCTGGCAGTACTTGGTCGAGTGTTTTAAAACAACAAAAAGTGGCAGATGTCTATTTAGAGGGATATGATCAATTTACTGGTTGGTTTCAGTCGTCATTACTGACGAGTGTTGCCGCAAGGAATTGTGCTCCTTACAAGTATGAATTATTATTTATGTATAACATTATATATTATAAATGATTTTATATACTTCCAGATCAATTTTTGTGCATGGTTTTACAGTGGATGAGAAAGGTAATAAAATGTCTAAATCAATTGGAAATGTTATATCACCTAAGGAAATTACAAAAAAATATGGTGTCGATGTGTTAAGGTGATAAAAAAAATATACAATAATTTTTATAAATGTTATTAACACGTAAATTGTTGGTTTTAGATGGTGGGTTGCTTCACATGCTACACAAAATATGTCCATAATTGTCAGCGATAAAATTTTACAACAATCTGCTGAAAGTCTAAGCAAGATACGTGCTACTCTTCGGTACTTAAATGGAGTAATCAATGAAAAATCTACGACTAGTTGGGATAGTGATGATCAGTCATATTTAAATAGATACTTGTTAAGTTGCTTGGTGGATTTTGAAGAAAAGGTATGATTTTAACTGCATGATATTTAATATATGAATATTTAGAAGTAGGTAAAATCTACTTTACAAAGGAAATACCAATGAAAAAGTCAAAGAAAAAAAACAAAATGACATAAAAAAATTTTAAACTAGTAAACTACAGAAAAAATTGAAAAAAAATTTATTTCATTTATAAAAAATACTCCAAAGCTAAAAAAGGTTATATAAATATAAAACGAATATAAAATTTCCTAATATTAATTCTTAAATCAGACATTGAAACTTTTTTCACTATTAAGCAGGCTTATTTTGTATTGGTATATCCTTGTCAGAAATAGATATATTGTAAATTAGTTGTTATTTTTTTGTACATTAGTTTTGCATTTACATTAATGCTTTTTGTTTTGTTGTGCTTTTTAACACAATCAGCTCGCAACATATATAATATATATTGTTGTATAATAACAATAAAAATATTACTTTGCGAATAAATGTGTTGTGATCGCCAATGTTTAAACTATTTAATAAGATAGTTTGTTAATGCCAAAAAAAGACCCTTGAGCAGACCCTTTCTTCTTTCGGAGTTACCGTTCTATTTTGTATTATTGTACCGGAAAGTGGTAACAGTGTACGAAAACAACACGTGATCAATTTCTTAAATCATGAAACAGATTTCTAAAAAAATTTAATTTTTTATCAGTTCCCACCAAGTCAGCCAGATATATTTTTGTTGATATGCCGCGTAGACTGATAAATCGTTTTATTGCACCAATAATATATCGATGAATCTGAATCTATTTTAATATGATCAGCCTTTGATGAGAAGCAGTTGAGTATAGCTATATATGATTTATAAAGCATCCTCCATTAGATTATAAAATATGTTAGAATTTAAACTGCGAAGTCGACTCATATAATAACAAATGGTCTATTTGTGGTTACTCGCTCTCTGGATAAATTACCCAGTAGTTATGTATTGTTGGAACTAATAAACGGACTCGGACCGGCACAATAATCCATATCTAGAAATGAATTTATTATTAGAAAAAAACAAAAATATTTAAAAAATTTAAGTTGGAATTATTATAAATTTAAAATCCACAAAAATAAAATAACAGATTAAGTATTTAAATAAGGCATATTTAATGAACTAAAAATATATGACGTAAGCTATTCGGTTTAGACACTCTTGAGATATTACGGTTATTATGAATTAAAATTTTTAATTGGTAAAGTTTTCTCTGTTGTAGAGTTACGACTTTTTCCGATTAAGGTATCATCTCTCAAATATATACCTCTTTAATATACAAAACTAAATGTTTTGTATATTTTATGTAATAGTTATAAAGGCAATAATCCGATTTTGATGGTTGGGATGTAGTTTGTTTTTTATTAATTGATTGCGAAGACATATTGTTAGGTAAACTACTGCAATGTGTAAATATTTATTGTAGTTGTAGTCCTGATTGTGACATTTAATTTTCTGATTCGAGGAATGACCAGCACATTGTTGTCTATATAGATGATTGATACTGAGTCATAGACCGTTTTACTTAATTAGTTGTGACAAATAGAAAGTCACATTTATATGTTATTATGATATATAACAAACAAAAATAAATCGTTTATACAGCAGCGAATTTTTTTAAACAAATCATATTGTAATAGATTCCGCCATCTATCACAATTTTTTTTTGCGGCGCCTGTAGATTATTTTAAAAGAATGCCAGCCACATTCTGATGAAAACACAATCGCAGATGCTTTGTTGTATCGATTTAGAAATCGTACTTGGCAAAGCTGTTAAGACAGAAAGTCATTATTATGATGTAATCATCTATAAGATTTTGATTTAATCCGTAGGTAATCTGTTGTGTCGTTGAAAAGTAGATTGATAATGTTATAAAGTTTTATGAGTTCAACTTTGTGGAGAGCGATATAATTAGTACGCACCAAGGATGTGTCTTTAGAAACTTTATAACTTTCAGAAGATTTTTTACTTCAAATCACAATCCTTTATTATTTATATATTTGTATTAAGCTTTTCTTTTTGACATGTATTTTTCATTAAATAATTTTTTATATTTTTAGTGTCAAAACAGTTACAACTGCTACGAATATCATCGTGTTGTATCACACATATTGAATTTCGTTGCGAACCAAATCTCAGCCACGTACTTGCATTTAATCAAGGATCGCTTATATTGCGGTGATAATGATGAGTTAGCAAGTATTCGCTATACAGTTAGCAAATGCTACGAAATACTGTGCAAATCGTTGTGGCCAATTACGCCATTTTTGATAGAAGAAAGTTGGAGCTTTTATGGTAAGTATTGAACAGCCATTGATGTAAGTATATCAAAATATATCCTTTTTTTTATCGTTTTAGATGCTAAGAATGCATTTTATCAACAAAAAGTGCTATCGAATCCGTCATGGAGGAATGAAAACATTGAAAATGCTTTAAATACAGCTCTCAAATATAAACGTTTAATAAATCAAAAATTGAGTGATGTCAACACTTGGACTTTGGCAGTCTCAATTTTACCCACGAATGAAGAGACGTTGGAAGAATTAAATAAACTACAAATTGATATGGATACTCCTGTTAGCAGGTCAGAATTATGTGAAATTTTACAGGTTGGCAAAGTTACTTTATTATCAAGTATAGCTGAAAGTGCAAGAACGCCCGAGACTGACTTTTTGATTGACATAAAAGTTTTAGATATTATTTTATGTCCTAGATGTAGGCGGTATGCTGTTAAAGATGAGACGTGTATTTGTCAACGTTGTACAGAAGTTTTGAGTTTAAAATAAATAGCTTTAAATAATATATCTTGGTGAATTAATATAAGCTAAATCTCATTTAAAACGATTGAAAGCATTTCTTCATTGATTCAGATATTTTTCTACGTGTAGCATTATTGTCACAAATTATATTTGATTCATTATCTTCAAATTTTATAGTGGCGTTATCGTCGTTTAGTATTAGTGATACTGTATTAGATAATCGCTCCATTTTAATATTTTTGAATCCGTCTTTTGTAAGACATTTTATTATTGTATCAGAATCAAGTGTGCCATATAAAATCTTTTCCTTTTTTAATGTTTCTTCCGGTATTGGTGCTGAAGTCATTTTCCCAATTTTACTTGTTGAAGGCCCACCATTTGAGAGATCCGATTCAATGGTACAATCATAAACATTATGTACTTTATCCTTGATTTCTATGAACCCAGTCAAACTTGCTATAGAGTAACCATTTCCTACATCAAGTGGTGCTATGGCTTGCGAAACATCTGGATTTAAATAAATTCTTTCCATTTTTCGCTTCAGTGGAAGTCGAATAATGTCACCGCATTTAAACGTCATTACTTTTTTATCCTAAAAAATAAATAAATAAAAATATAATTATTTAAGTATTTATGATTTTGTTTCTAATTATTTATTTAGATTATGAAAAAAATACTTAATAACTTTTACAGTATGTTTGATATCAGAAAGGAATCTATTTTCAATATTGACCGAGACACCATTGTGTCAAAAAACTTTCCGAAAATAAATGTCGTCAATCAAGAAAAATTTATTATTTGAATAATATAGATCATAAATCATTACGTTATATATGTTGTAAATCTTACTGGCAAAATCTATAAAATTTCGAGTATAATCGAACTGTGGGACATTGTCATAACTTAATTTTAACTTACTGGTTGATCTATGAATACATTTGGCGCATTTGGTAATGGTTTAACGTAGGCTTCAGGTATTACAAGCACATTAGGTTTAAGTTCCTTTATTAATTTATTCGCTTGTTGATAATTGAGTGATGTATCGATAGGACAATAAAAAGCTTTCATTGCTAAAGGCTGGAATGGTGCTAATGCTTGAATGTACGGAAAATCTGGTTCTAAATATAGAAAATGTGTAATTTAAATAATTTGTTAATATAAAAATTTTTAGTTTAATAAAAAACCTGTAAATATAATGGAATTGTTTGGATTGTTGCCCCACATCTCTATAAAATGTACCGCATCACCGAAACGTAAACTAGGATGCCCACAAAAAACGACACAGGGCTAAAATGAGAGGAAAACGATTGTGAATTAAAGATGGATTTATAAATATTTTAATTTTATACTTGTCGAAAATCTTTGCTGAAATCATCGGAGAAGACATGTTTATAAGCTTTTAGTTTGTTGTTACGTAAATAGTGAGCGTGAGGAAAAGGATCATCAGGAAGGTAACATTTGTTCTGTTTTGTTGCGCTTAACCATTCTGATAAGATGTTGGAGTAAGCAAGTGAAGAATCTGCAACTGGTGAAATGAAAAACATAGGCACATTGTTGAGTCCAGCGTTTTCTAAATTAGAGGTCAAACATTCGAAGAGATCGTAAACAACCCCAGAAGGATAGCAAGGAATAAGTGCGGAGCCATTGTTGCGTATTGTCAAAGCTAATTTTTTTAAATTAATAAGAAGGTAAAAATGTTTATATTTAGTAAGTAATTTTTCTTAATTTATTTTATATGCAAAATAAACTTTTCTTTATTTCTTATAATTAATATTTAAAGCTTACCAACATTCATGCATAATTCACCCAATTTTGTATCAGGATTTACAGTTGGTGCCTGCGTTAATCCAGTCATTATAAGCACATCAGCATGTTTCAGTGCAGATTGGTTAATCGGTCGCGGATGTGTTGTCAAAGTAGAAGAGCCGCTCACATAACAAATTTTTTCATGTATTGTGTTTAAAACCCAATTACTGGATCCTAAACAATAGCCCGAACTAACCGGCGTTGCAATAAATGCTCCATATATATCCTAAATATCATAATTACTATTGAGCACAACTATGAACTTCTTCACTTACCAATTTTTCATCGTATCCTGTACACATAACTTTAGACATACTATTTTCAACATCTTTAAGTGTAAAAATGGTTTTCCATCTTTTTGGACGAAATGCTTCAGTTAATGGAGTTGGTAATATACTAAGCATATCTTTCCATAAATTTGCTGTACTTGCTTTTGGAGCAACTTCTATATTTTGTACTAACTCCTTAAGAAAGTATGTACCAATTTGTAAAGTAGGTTCAGTTGCATATACTTTGCCTTGGAAATCGGTATTTTCTGTTATATATGGTAATGCTAACATATTTAGATAATTAGATATAAATATAACATCAATTTCACTGAACTCTATCATTTTGTCCATAGGTAAGGAGAATTCTGGTGCAGAATCGATGAAAACGCGACCGCAACATTCCTTTAGTTCACCATCCATTTGTTGATCATGATCACGGTTTGGTATCCAGTTTGGTAAATTAGATAATTTCATACTTTGCACAAATGGTAAAGGTAAAAAATTTAACACTGTCTGTTCGGTGAGACCGCAGTCCAACATGACACGCAGTCCTCTAAAAGTAAGCACATAACAAGGTTTTGCCAAATCATTACTTAGACAATACTAGAAATATGAGAAGTTAAAGAATATAAATTTTATGAAAAGTGAGCACATGTTTAAATTTTTTCTTACTAATCGCATTTTATTTTAATTTATATTAAATTCGTGTTAGTAAACAATGTTTATGTACTCGACGTAATTCTAACCGGCTGTGAGACTAAACAGCTGATATTGACCAACAGTATTTGTACAACAAAGCACATGGTTGCATTTTTAATGTAATTTATATTTAGCAATATTATTGAATGGATGTGAATTCGAGTAATTTGATGGTAAATTGAGGGAAATAGTAAATTATGTCGATATGGCAGCGATGTTGGTATTCCAATTTCGAGTAGGGTAAATTAGATATTACCATTGTGAAAATTTTATAAGATGTTAAATAAATAAATAAATAAACTTGAAAACTTTTAACCAAATATAATAAATAAGTGCAATAAATTAGTGTAAACAAATATTTATATTAGTGCAGTGCAAAAAATCGCTAGGAAACTTCAATTTCCTAGGTCATAATTGAATGCATGTGAATAATATATCCTTACATATTTAAAGATATTATATAAATGTGCTATGATTATTTCCTTTATTTTCACTAGTATTTATAATAAAATAATAATAATAACCCCTTGTGGGAAATTTATTTTCAAGGTTTAAATTTGTCATATTTTGCTATAAATGAGCTGATTTATTAATAATGAGCTCATTTATATGAAATCTCTTTGTATGGTAAATCATCCTTATTACTCTGGTTATAATGAGCAAAAACGTGTATAGCTTAATTGACAAGCAAACGCTAAAGAATAGTTGAGGAATGTAAACGGAATGCAAACGCTAAAGAATAGTTGAGGAATGTATACATATCTTTTTACTCTAGTTTAATGATGATTGGAAGGCTCCGTAATTTGTTTGGTCAGCACTCAGAGGCAATACAATATTATTAAAATCGGTCATATATAGACAATAGCATGCGTATGTGCCACAGGAGCTATGAGAACATGCTTTAGTGGGCATACATGCTGAAACATTGAGCACCCATTTGGACCAGAAATGCAGCAGTTACGGGGAAGAAGTCAAAAAAGAACAACTGAATATTTTCTTCACAAATGTCAAAGCCTAGCAAGTTTATAACATTACACTATACTACTTCACGAACCAATAAACCAGGTAAATATTCAAAAAAATTATTTCTTAACTGTTGAGGTTGGTTTGCAATCTGACAATTTCAGGACTGGGCTTGTGATAGTATACATAGTTCTTATAGTAAACGTATAGTTCAGTAAATATGCATTTTTGATTGATGCATATTGATTGATGCATATTGATTGATGCATTTTGATTGATTAATGATTTTCAACCGAAAGAAGTCGCGACATTCCAGGTAAGAGTTAGTTCATCTCTTCAGTTATGGTAAGCAGAACAGAGTTGAGGTTGCTGGTGGAATATTTAACAGATTGATACCTGCTTAGAAACAGACGAGACTTCCAGTCACATTCTCTGTGACTGCCTAGCCTTGATCTGGAACAGGAGGAGGTCATTGGGTCAGAGAACTACTCTCCCCTTCTGACATTAGGAGGTCTTCAACGGCCGACATTTGGTATAGAAATCAGTTATATGGAAATCAGTAAGTATAGATGTCACTAAGTATAGATATCAGTAAGTATAGAAAGAACTAGCTATAATTCTCAGTTAGAAACTTATCAAGTGCCGTTAGAGCGTTTTATGCGAACGTAGTGAGTGAAAACCTCAAGATCAGCACTTATTAAATGTTCAAGAGTCGTCGGAAAAACTGTCCTGTCGTTTCATTTTTTTTCTAAATTACTTTTATTTACGGATAGATAGAGTAGATAGATATATTATATTAGATAGATATGTTATTATAAATATTTTGCAATATTAAAATAAATACTCAAATATTTATTGTAGGTTCTTTTTTTGTTTAATTCTTTTAATTTTTAATTTAATTTTATTTAAATTAATTTTACATTAATAATTTTTCTTTCAGTAATATCTATATTTTCCATTTGGTTTCTTGCCATTCTACTTTATTCGTACTCATAAAATGTCATAAACTTTGTAGCTTCATCATATACAATACTTTATATCATGTATGTGATAAAATAGTTCACATTCTACCACGCTCAGTAATAACAGTGAAGTTAAAGAAAAAATATTATCCTTTAAAAAGAAATTTATTTATTTTGACATGACTTCGTGATATTTTACGATCCTGCTGGTTTTCTTATGTACCAACGGTGAAAGCAAAAGGGGAATTGCCTTTCTAATAAAACAATACACTGAATAAGGATATGTGATGTGATATATTGCTTTCGTTGTTACGATAAAATGATAGCCTTATTTATGTTATAAAATATACATGCATTTTTTATGGATTTATAGATTAAAGATTTTATAAATTTACAGTGAAACGATGTTAACATCGTTTTGTAACACACCGCTATAAATGGTTTTTATTTAAAAATCTTAATATTTTTTGATTATATCTCAATGTACACAACATCCATTTTCATTAAATATAACAAAAACAAATCATCAATCAATCAAAATTTATTTTGTCGCCATCAAAGTGGGTCAAATCAAGTGCAAACGCTATCCTGAGCCCCCATTTCTTCATACATTTTTTGGAGGGATGATTTACTTATGGCTTTCAACTTCTTAATGTAATTTTCTATTCTAATTTGTATTTCCGAAATGTTAATCTTAGTTTTCTGAAGAGAAAAAATAATTTAGTTCATCGAATATATTAACAAAGTATGAATTTCGATAACATGATCTATTGTACGATGTATCGGCAAATCAGTTGGGAGATGTTCACTTCATCCTTTCCACAATTTACATATAAAAAATTTATAGGTAAACATAATTATAGGCATATGTTAATTATGACTATCTTTAGCAGAATAATCCGTAGAGCATATTACTAACAAGATGTCTTGTATATTCTGGATCAGGTTATACTTCATAATAGATTTTAGATGAGATAGATAAGATATGGTGGTGTTTACGGAGTAGTATAAAGTTTCATATTACGTATCTGGTAAGAATTCGTTATATGATTCATTTTAAATTGAATTATTGTTTACTATTGAATTATGTTTGAATTAAGGGTGTCATATATAGTGCGGTTACACTTTTAGTACGGAATGTTGTAGAAAAATATTTCATTAAAAAGACTCCTTTAAGTAGGACTCCGTTAATATGAAATATTGTAGCGTACTATAATCCAATCCAAACATCCAGTGCCCACGTCAGCTAGCCTTATCAGTGGCTTACTGTCGCCAGTTGGTAGTACCGAGCGCCCCTGAATAATATTTTATATACCCAATTGCTAACATCCAGTGCCCACGCCAGGTAGCCTTATCAGTGGTTTACTGTCGCCAGTTAGTAGTACCGAGCGCCCCTACATAGTTGATCATCTGGTCCTTCCATCGAGTATGTAGATATTCTCTACCGCGTTTTCTTGCAAGTACCGAATCAAACACCTTTCTAGCTGGAGAATTTCTTCCATTTGTATGACATGATCAAGTCAGCAAAGCAGCTATATTTTTATGGGCTTTACTATGTTAATGTCATGGTATAGCTATACAGTTCATATGCATAATTTTTCTTTCGTATGTTCTTAAAGCCTTTTCACCACTGTTGGTAATTGTCTAAGTTTCTTCACCATACAGCAGGATAGGCATGACAAGAAATTTATAGAGGGCATTATTTTATAATTGCCTACTTGTTTCGTTTGTTTATCTAAGTTGGAAAATGTCGCACTGACAACGCGGGTGTTCAGGACAATGATATCCATATCATCGGCATATGCAAGCAACATTACACTTTTGTAAAATATTGTGCCAGTGTGGTTTTAATCTGCTGCTGGGATTATCGTTACCAACATTAGGGTAAAATAGTTACACAACAAGGATTTAGCTTGTCTGAAACCTTGTTAGGTCTCAAACGACTCGGAGAGGTACTTCTCAACTATAACAGAGTTGGTGATGTTGCTCAACGTCATTTTACACAGCCGTTATAAGTTTTGTTGGGATACCAAATTCAGATATAGCGGCATAAAAAGTGCCCTTAGTCTTAGTGTCGCTTTGAAACTGGTCTTCTCCAGGATTATTATATACCATAAACAAATTTTCATTCGTGTAAAAATGAAACAATATAAATTAGTATATTTTAATATTATGTTTTACTCTTATCAGCGCAAAGGATTTCTCTGACAAATATACATAAAAATATGATTATAGTGTTGAGAGATTGTTTACTTAAACTTAAAGATTTTTTATGAGCATGAAATAGATCTATAATAAAATTGTACAGTCTTTAAGTTTTACAATAAAAATTTTAATACAAATAAATGTTAAGAATCTTACAAGGACTTGTGCTGCTCCTTAAAAAAGATTTATTTCTCTACTGCATTAAGTTGACATTTTATGGTAATTTGACTCAACATTTTGAAGTTCCTTTTTTATTGGAAAAGAGGGATTTGTTGCATTTATGTTTTGCATATAAATTTACATGTGTCCATATTGTAGTAATTTGGTTTCACATCCGTTAAAGGAAGTGCTTTGCTATGGACACTACAAAGTTGAATGTGTCTTTTTGTCGAGGAAATGACAAACCAAAGTGATGCAAAAGCAGATTGCATACAAACTGCACTTCTGCCGGGATGTGCATTTGGATTTTCTGGACAAATATTTATGCAAAACACAATGGAGGAGACAATAGCTTAAGGATGTATTAAGATCTTATAAGGATGGCTGTGTATGTCGTTTGCATTTGTCATTCTCTATTTTACGTATTTAGTAGAGAACATAAAATTTCAATTTTAAAATCATTTCTTCTCAGAAAGAGTAAGCGGATTTAAAATAAATTGAACCAGATATATTTTCTTCATGAATAATCTTTTATAATATATATAATAAATTAATTTTAAAATTAATTTAAATTTATGCTTTCTTCTTATATGAAATTTTATATTTTGTATATAAGTTAATAATTGTGTGATTTTCATAGTTTCATTAATAGTTAAAAATTATATTTACCTTTTATAAAAATGTATAATTAATAAAAAGACAGGGGTCTGGTTGATGAATCCATGATATATAAAAAAAATAATGGCATTTTTGATTAGATGAAGTTTG